TGGATATTCTGAAATCCACAGACTGAAACGGCAACTTTCAGTCTGTGGATTTCATTAGTTTACGGCTTTTTCTTCAATACAGGCTGGTTCGTGACCTAGGTGGAATTTCAATGATTCTACCACATTTGAATTCTAGATTTTCAAATTCGCGTACTTCAAAAGAATTATCAATAGATTAGAAATAGGCTGGATTTGGTGAGGATGGACCCATGACCCATTTAATTATCTAGGTTTTCTTTACAAGTGAAACAGTAGCAGTTGAGGTTAAACTTTTTCTAGTATTTTAGTTAATGACCTATTCCTTTCACTCAACATAGTTTCACGTCATGTTTACAAATAAATAAATAATGATACTAATCTTATAGCGCAACGATATTGACTTCCGAATTCGTGCTGGCAAAGTTTTTAATCTGTGGATCTGATTCATTTCACAGATTTGATCTCATAGATTCTTTTCAAAGTAAGAGCCAGGGTTGTATTTGAATTGAATGCAACTTTTTTAAAAGACTACAGCAAATTGTATTTAATAGATATTTAAATTACACTGAGGATCGCATGTGTTTTAGCAGACAGTAGGAATTAATATTTTTCTAATATATAATAGATTATATTAGCTTAAAATTACATTGCGCGAGAAATGCATTAATGTATCAATCGGTTATAAAAAATCGACGATGACGTGTGCGACACGACGGCCTTATTGGGTATTGTTTCATTTATTCTTCATAACGCCGTCTTTAATGTTGTTCTAGTTAAATGTGTACTACTCGCAATCTATACAAAAAATAGTTACTTACCTTTATTATAATTAGTCACAAACTACACAGCCTTGATGAAATAGATGTTAGATTTTGTAGTTTGGATTTTCAATACGAATAACATTTCAGTAACTCATGATCTCGAAAAATGTGGACGAATTCGCTTTCTCAGCAGTTTTCGGGGCGCTGACGATGCGTTAAAATCTAGGCCGTCTGCCGGCCTAATGAAAATATCGTTAGGTAATTCGCTGAACTCATTCCAAGGCCGAAGGGTACCTGCCTTCAAGCCCCAAGATCTATTGTCATATCTTTTGCAGGCCCGCCCCAGATTATCTTGGAATCCAATTACCTAAAATTAAAAGAGGTCTCGCCCAACAAGGGAATTTAACTGAGATTTCAAACGGAGATCACAAAATATTTCTTTGTTAAATGGAAATGTAGTTAACGAAATGAGAGGGTTTTATTTTATACTAGCGGCCCTGTCCCGGCTTCGCGCGGGTAGACATAAATAAGTACAGATATTAAAATTATAAGCATGCTAATTAAAACGACCATGAATCACTAAATTAGAAAAAAAAAATTATTTCGCGTCTTAACTGTTAACGACCGTTGTCTATCTCGCTGTGTCAGGAGCCGCTGCGAGCGTTCAGTGTTAGACTCCCGTGCACGTATTCGCGAATTCCTAGCTCTATTTCTTTCAAGTCGCTGAGACGATCTTGCATTTTGTTCTGCAAAACAAACCTTAACATTCAACGACAGATTCTCTGGCTCGCGATTGGGACGCGTACACTATAATACTTTCCAGATGATCATTTTAGGAAGAAGACTTCTCCAATACGACGAACTTTTGCTAATCTCGCTTGGGAACTATTCTTAGATAGCTGCGACCTTCTTTTTCTAGGCATATTGCTATGAAGGATATTTATTTTTTTACGCCTTCCGTTGGTTTTAGTAAGAATTTCTATAGATGTCTTTAGTAATCGAGTACTAAATAGCCTATGTTACTCAGTGATAATGTAGCTTTCTAATGAAAAAATAATTATTAAAATCGGTCCAGTACTTTGAGTTTATCCGTTACATACAAAAATACGAATCTTTCCTCTTTATAATATTAGTATAGAAAAGGACAGGAGGCGCTTGGTTCTTTCTTTTTAGAAAATAATACAAATTTACGTGATTTTTAAAAAATTGAAAAAATGTTTCGACTCGGGCAGGACTTGAGAGGGCATCGTCAGCGTTCTGTGCTGTTGCTCTAACGCCATCTTGTGCAATAACATTAAAGTTTTCAGCAGTTCTCAGTCGGTGTACATTACAACGTCTAGTGGTAATGCTCTATAGTTTTATAAGCATCAACTGTCTAGTTATTAAACTGACTTAAGACTTCACAGTATTTTTGCTTTTATGAAGTGCTAACTACCATTTCTCAATGATGAATTTTAAATATATAAAAAAAATAATAATGAAACACATTCCGACATCATACAGGTACGATGTCCTAAAACTAGACGAATTTAAATAAAATAATAGCGCTGTGCTTATTTTATTTGTAAAGAGGAAAACAATTTTCGGGCCACGAAAAGTTTGGGTGTTGGAATTACAGTCGAGCTATTTGAGAGGTACGACAAATATTTTAATCCCCTAATGGGCCCGACAAAGAAATCTGTGTCGTTAATTAGTTCTTAGTGAGTTGGAAAGTTTGTTTTTAAATTAAACTTATTTTCGGAACTAAGTTCTTGTTGATTATTCTTTAAATTAGTTACATGTAAGGATGTTTTTAATCAAAATATAATTCGTATTATTTGAAGCACAGTACTTATGACAAATTCGGTCATAAATTAACGGTTTAAAACGTCAAATAAACTACAAAATAAAATTATGTGGTGGTTATGTGGTTTGTATGTATGTTAGAAAAAAAAGTTTAGGTAGCACAGGGCATACGAGGATGCGGGGGGCTATTCGTTTATAACGTAAGCCAGTTTTCGTTAATTTTTGTCCCCCTCCCCTTCTCCTATTATAAAAAGAATCTGAAAAGCTGACCTCTTCCCCCTATTGAATATTTAATACGTAAAAATATAAATTCTTTTTAAATTTTCATTCCTATGCACTTTGTCAGAACAAATAAACATTTCCAAAGGGAAAGAGGAATTCTTGTACAATACGTTGATACGGTACAATGCCAGTAAGCTTTTAATAAGAATAGAAAAAAGTCTTGTGTTTTGTTAATGTAAACAATTAGCAGCTGTTTGATATAGGGGTTGATTGTCTTGCTGAGTTTTCCGGCATTACATATTGTGTATTCAGTAACCTTTAAGGTCATATATTTTTTACATTATTTACGATTTATAAGTAAGAAAAAAATTATCTTTGTCTTCGGCCGGATTTGAACACGTGACCGACGCCATACGCCATTGTCCGGTATTCTTCTAGTTACGGTCCTACTATAGTACCCTAATAGTATAGTTAGGTCTCTACAATATCTTCGTCCTTGATATATTATATATGAGATTTATATGTATCTATGTATTGGGTGAGTGTTCTTAATTAAATGTTATTATCGAGGTCTTATCGCTAAGCAGCGATCTCTTCCAGGCAACCTGAAGTACTGTAAGAATTTATTTTTAAGATTTGACGTGCTCATTGGTGTTATGGTAGTAATATGTGGCTAATAATCTACGGGTCGTCGCCCAATTTGTAATTTTTCTGAAACATGTTGCACTTCGTCTGCAAATCTGGTAGGAATATCCACCGTCCACAGTTAAATGTAATTGTTTCGGTTTGAGGCTGTGTATTTCCGAATATCCAAAGCCAAAGTAGGTTGTTTAGATGTTATATGGTTGGGATGTTATCCTACCATCAATTGAACCCCATGCTTGTCTGTCCTCTTCGATCATAAAAAATGTGCAGTCGCCTTATAGCCTGAGTGTAACAACATTATTCCTCATTCTGTTCAGTCGGATAGTCTAATAATGGCTTGCGAATGGTGACTTCATTCACGACATATGCATAATTCAAACATCATGCCTTGACGTCAGACGTCGTCGTATCCCGGTTAGCCCGGCATAATGACATATTATTTATTACTTCCATACGTTCGTATCATACTTGTAGAAACGCGAGGATTAGGACGTTAATTAAGAAGTAATTCACTAGTAATAAGTAAAAAGAAAACAATTTTTTACGTGCCAGCGACTTCCACCGCATTAAATAGTTATTTTGGACCTCTAAATGTATTTTTGCATACCCCTCATGTTTATAAACTAAAGCTGTTACCCACGACTCGCGTCCCGTCGTCGAAATGTACTCTTACAGAATATTACCACGCATCTCCCTCAGTGTTCGCTTCTATTGAATTCCAATAGAAGTATTAAAGAATAAATGTCAATATAATGCCCTAAAACTTTCCTCGATAAATACTCCGATTAACACAAAAATACTTTTCAATTCGAACCAGTAGTTCCAGAGTTTAGCGCGTTCAAACAATCAAACTTTACAGCTTTATAATATTAGTATAGATTTTATAATAACTTGATAATTTCGCTATAGAAACCAATAAAAATCATCATTATAATCGAAAAAAAAAGCGTATTTAGGTATAACGTGGTGGCGAACTACTCGCAAATAAATAAGGAAGGAAAATCTTTTCAAGAGCCGAGATTATTTTTAGACTTTAACCGAACCGAAAATTCAGTTTTCCGTTGAAGTATTTCGTTGCTATAGTAACTTATATAGGAAACTATCTTTTTTACTGATACTGGAATGCCAAATGCACGCCCACATCTGGCAATAGTGACGTGGAGTGTGGTAAATCGTACTACAACCTCCTCGGGGACAATAGCCGTCCAGAACCACTAAACACACTAGCAACCCGCTACGGTGATTTCAAGGGAGCTCTGGGAACACGTTAGTACCACTCCAAAGTTCCCAGCACCAATTCAGGAAATTATAATACCTAACAATGTCTAACTTTGACAACTATCAAAGACGTTTTTTGGTATATCTTAACTACACGTAAATTTTTACCTTACCCTGTTTATTGGTCGAATAACAGCGAACTTTGCTGGTGGTTGTAGCTTCAAGTCCCTCGTATGTTAATACTCTCTCGCCAATGTTTTAATAAGCTAAATATGCAAAAAGGTCATCTTGTTTAGATGTTATAATTATATAGCTGGGGTATTTGCATAAAATGCCTCTAGCATAAAAAAGCTATACTTTTGTAACGCTTATCTTTTTTTTGTTGAACAGGTCCGCCTACGACACCATGAAACAAGCAAAGGTGGCCATCAAGAAAATATCCCCCTTCGAACACCAGACGTACTGCCAGAGGACTCTTAGAGAAATCAAAATCCTCACCAGGTTTAAACATGAAAATGTTAGTGCATAGCTTATTTCATTTTTTTTAATTAAAAATCTTAATTGCAAAACGCCTCGACTAATTAAAAACCTTTCAAGGTAGTGAGGATAAAGTCTGCAGTAATCTCGTTGTGACAAAGAGAAGGAGAAACAGTGTATATTTTAAAATTTAAAACAATGCTACAAATATTATATACAAGACTAGCTGATTTGAAAAATGTAGTGACTATTGAATTATTTTTAGGGTATGAAATTATTAGATTTTATTTTTTATTGCCGTAGGTATCCCTATTACTTGAATAATAATTTAATTAAGGATACCTATTTAAATAAAACACTTTAACGGTTTAAAACGCGATATATTAGTTAAACTTATTTGAAAATTATTTTTAACTTCGGCCCGACGTTTCGGATGCTTTGCAGCAACCGTGGTCACGGGGAGACCGAAACGTCGGGCCGAAGTTAAAAATAATTTTCAAATAAGTTTAACTAATATATCGCGTTTTAAACCGTTAAAGTGTTTTATTTAAATGTGTACTACTTGCGTAAACTATAGACAGTATTTAAGGATACCTACTTTTTTCAAAGAAGAATAAAGCAACATAGACTCCGGGTAAATGCGAAAGAATTTTCGACATCGGTGCAGTAGTACATACACACAAAAATTAAATCTTTATAATATTAGTATAATATATAGATAAAATTAAATTTAATATAAATAAAACACTTGAACGATGTAAAACGTAAGAAATATTAGTTGACTTTTCGATTTATTTTAACATAATGAAAAGGTTTGATTTGATTTTGACATTTCTGATGCTTTGCAGCAATATGGGCACGAGGAAATTGAAGATGAAGGGTGTTTATAATGTCAAAATCCAATCTGCTACACGATCGCCATCATCAGCGTTTTAAACCGTTTCATTTAAATGTGTACTACTCGCGTTAACTACTGACAGTACTATTTAGTATTTAGTTTCTGATAACTAACGGGCGAGAAATAGTAGTGTATATACTAGATATATCTAAAAGGTCTTAGCTCGCGACCCCAGGCTTGTTTAATATTAATAGGAAGCATTTCAAGTGGATAAACACTATCGTTAGTATTTCTCGAAACTTGTTACGATACTCGAACATTCCGCTTTTGGATTGCATTTTTATTTAAAACTACCTCACAAAATTTTACTTCTAATTATGACCTTAATAAACTTCTTTACGGATTATCTGAAGTTTACCCGAGTATTTATTAAATATAACGCGATATATATGTGTTTCGATTGTTTATTGTTACGATGACCCGATGTTTCGAATGTTCTGCAGCAGAAGTATGGTTTTAACCGTTAAGAGTGTTTAAAACAAACCCCTTTTCCAAGTCGACATTTGGCCTTTTGTAATTATTATTTTCGATGCAATAACAATAACTATTCTACGCGGACGAAGTCGCTTACACAGCTAGTCTTAGTGTAAGTCCCATTGAAATACTGTCGTCTCTTAAAACACAGTAAAAGAAATTAGTCAAGTCGTCCCGGAAGGATGTAATTAATGAGCAAAGAGCGAAGTTCTAAATAATTGATAAAGATCTAAGTGAGGGTATTTTGTTTCAGATAATTGACATTCGGGATATTCTTAGAGCAGAGACAATTGAACAGATGAAAGATGTCTACATCGTCCAGTGTCTTATGGAGACGGACTTGTACAAATTATTAAAAACACAGGTAAGCTAGGAAATATATTCCTACCCTCATTAAGAAATATTTAGGTCTCAAAAGATTCACAGCGATGCATTGTTTTTAGTGGTTCTCTGTAGCACAATTATTAATTGCATTGTCTAGGATTGCGTAAAGTGCGAGAAGATCTAATCCATGTTGAGGAATCACTGGAATGTGTCGGACGGGCGGTTGGTTGCAGAAGTCCGATTAACTACTTTAAATAAAATTCATAATTGATACAGATACAGAAATGTGCCTATAGTATTGATATTGTTTTATAGAGCTTCCCTAAAAACCCTTTTTTTAACTTTTTATGTGTCCGTAGTATAAACATTTTGTTCCTATTAGATAAGACATTTAATAGAATTACATTTAATGATAAAATGAGTTTCTCCATAACATGAGACTGTAATTGTATTTTCCGATTGTGTTCATTTTATTTTAACAATTGATATGAAAATACTGAAATGAGAATCTCTTCAGAGAAAAATGAGTCTGTTATGTAATATTTAAAATCTATTATAAATTAAAAGCATTGTAAGCGACAAATACATAGAATCTTATGAATTCGTATTATCTCTTTTTAGGGTTCCGTCTAAAGATTAGAACCTTAGTTATAGGAATGTCTTAACATTCCTGTCACTCTGTCACAAGGGACATCTTGTGACAGAGAGACAGTGACAAAACAAAATTATGCGAAAAATATACTGATGAAACTTGTACAAATTGCACAATTGCACAATACGAAAAATAATTACTTTTAAAATCGCCGTTGTCTTTGTCTGTTATAGCTCAATGTTAATGATTACAATTAGACTCTTGAAAATGCTTACTATGTATTTTTTTCCTATTTCGGAGGATTTTGTTTCACGAATTCTGTACCAAGTCAATGGTACAGAATCTTCCGGCCACGAATCTGTACCGAGACTTATGTACTAAGTCAATGGTACAGAATCCTCTGTCTGAGAGTCCGACTGGCCCTTTCCCGATTTCTCTTTGTCAAATTAAAGAGGCGCAATTAATTTCACAGAAACTAAGCAACGACCACATCTGCTACTTCCTGTACCAAATCCTGCGAGGGCTGAAGTATATCCACTCGGCGAACGTGCTTCACAGGGATCTCAAGCCGTCAAACCTCTTGCTTAACACGACTTGTGATTTAAAGGTAAATTATAAATGTATCAGCTAAGTTTATTTACAAAATAGTTTTAACTACGATCCGTCGTCGGATGCATTGCAGCGACCGTTTTTTTCGCGTTTTAAACAGCTAAAATGGTTTTATGCATTTAATATATACTACTTTTTTAATATTCTCTCTCAACATCGTCAAGCTAAGTAAAACTTTTGTTGAACGAGACTAATCTAAGAAACATCCGGTCTGATTAAAGAATAATTTTACTGTTCTCTATGTTCCGATGAATGTGGAAAGTTTCAAAAAACTAAAATGAACTGACACAAATATTCCAAATTAAAAATCTATTAAGTTTAGTAGAGATAGATTTCACCAGGTGACACGGCCGCTCAATTGGTTAGGAGCAGCAGCAGGTAATGTTGTGGCATCTACGGCTCATGGCCCGACCGTGTCGTTATTATTTTTCGCAAATTAAACATTTACAATATATGTCTTCAGTTTTTAATTAAACGTCTATATACGTTTTCTGATAAGATTATTCGATTCGTTAAAGCAAGTCTCGTTAAGCGGCGCGAGGTTAAGTGGAAATGTTAACGATTTTTCCCAACGAATTATACATTTCTCATAATTGTATATACAATGCCTAGCTGTGCTTAATGGGTTTATAAGTATAATACAGTCCAATGTATAGACATTCGACGTGCTCATTGGTCTAATGAGAGTAATGTGTACTTTATTTTCAGCGGGTTCGATTCCCGCGTCCAAAATGCTCTTATCCATTTATAATGTTTCCGAATTTATTAGACCTAGTCCGAAAATCTATAGATCTCTAGGTAATAAAATGGTGGTGCGAATTTAAAAATCGAACATATTTTTTAAAGATTCGACTCGGGCAGGACTTGAACCGGCATCGTCAGCCGTTCCGTGCTGTTGCTCTACCAATTGAGCTACCGAGTGCTACACCTCATCGTCGAATTTTTTCAACTTATTATATTACATAGTAATTTCAACTTTAACACTTCCGTCATAAGTTTCAACGTCTTATGCTTTGCGGGTTAAGAAATCATTGAAGATGAAATTACAAAGTTATAATGTTTGAAAACTTTTATATTTAATGGTGGTATGAATTTCAAAATTCCATTCGGGTCACGCACCACTGTCGCAGATAAAAAAGCCGCGAAATTTTATCGTGTTTCAGTTCGGTATTCGAACATACAAAGCTACATACAACGCATCCTGTAGAGATGGGCAAGGTAATTCCTTCAGGCGAAATATATGCTTGTCTGTTCTTATCTATCATTAAAAAAAACATATAGGAAAGCTTAAAGCGTTCCGTGCTGCTCTCATGGAGCAACAGCGCGGAACGCTCACGATGCCGGTTCAAGTCCTGCCAGAGTCGAAAATTTTTTCAATTTATTTTCGATTTCTAAATTATATAGTGCCTTCATGTGCACATGTAAAAAATAATAAAGTTTTCAAATATAGGAAAGTATTTTTATGATTAAGCTGGTTAATAATACGTCTTATATGTTTGTGTCAGTAGCGCGTGTGTGTATGTGTGTGTGTATATATTTTTTTTATATTGAGGTATAGTTCGTACCAATTTTATTGAAGTTAAATTGTATAAACATTTGTTACATTTACTCGACATGTTTTCATGAAATTCGGGGCAGTCAATGTTGATCAAAACCTGGAATAGAAATACTTTATCCCGAAAAACCGTCACGTTTCGCGTGATGGACAAAGAATAATAATGATTTTGTGTTACGGTTAAAACGCTGTTTTGATATTATTATCGAACGCAGTGTTGAGCGCCTTTAGTTTTACAGTGAATAAAAAATATCTATATTTTTTGAAGTAACAAGTATTCCAATAGCAAAATCCGCTTTGCTTTAGTGGTTTCCGCTGTTAGAGCATTCAGAAAGAATGTTAGTTCTCAATTTATTATACCGGCCAAGTCTGTGTTGGAATATGTCAATATCGACGAATCTTTAGTTCAAAAACATGTCTTTGGAGAGCAAGCATACGAATATATACTAGTTAAATTTGTTTGTTTTTTTTTTGTAACTACGGACAAGTATTAAGTGTTTTATTTAAATGTGTACTACTCGCGTAAACTACAGACAGTATATATGAATTTAAATAAAACACTTTAACGGTTTTAAACGCGATATATTAGTCAAACTATTTGAAAATGATTTTTAACATCGGCCCGACGTTTCGGATGCTTTGCATGCAGCCGTGGTCACGGGGAGACAAATAGTTTAACTAATATATCGCGTTTTAAACCGTTAAAGTGTTTTATTTAAATGTGTACTACTCGCGTAAACTATAGACAGTATTTAGTATATATGAGTCCTTATTCCTCCTCATGTGGTCAGTAGACCGACAGCTCGCAAATTTTACACGAACTTTAGAAAACATTTTCCCGCGCAAAAGGAGCGAGCCAGACATCTAGTTACATAAGATGAATAAGTAATGGGACCTGTTTTCCATTACTTTTGATTTGAAAGTTAGAACGTTGAGTATTCAGTGTAGTCCCCTGCGATTCTAGGGTCTTTCAGCTCGTCTGCCTTGAGAATTTCAAGAGAACTCCTAATAAGGTCTGACTAACTTGTTCCCAAAGTGTACAAGTTATTAAGGCGGCATTACGTCAATAAAGCAATATTTAAAACGATAATTATGTAGTTGCAATTTGTTAAGCGGCTAAAGCAAAAGCAATGGCTATGTTTATTCCAATGATATAAAATCTATTGTTTACTTTAATCTCGTTTTTGACATCTGAGTTTAGACCCACCGCGCTGCAGTATGGTTATAAAAATTAACAAACGCCGAAGAAATTTGCGAATACCGAACTAACATTTTACCCTGGGTTTAAATCGTAGACCAGTTCCTTTCCAGTCACAAGTACATCGACTTAAACAAACACCCCCTCCCCCGGACTTAGTTCATGATTTATGATGAGATAAAATTAACTACAGACTACACGAAATAAAAGCTCCAATTTACAAGGCAACAATGTTTATGCCTCCATATTAATATTGATGCCATCGAGGCAAAATAGTACTGTTGCTCAGAGCCCCGATGGCAGTACAATTTATGTATCCCGAATCTGTTGCTCTCGGATTAACAAGGGATGTTTCCCTTTTGTTCTAGTAATTATTAACTGCATTATTAATTAATCTAGGCGAATGGGATAATACGTTGTTAATAATTGAGTAGGTAAATGTTTGTACAAATGTGTTTTGGGGATTTGAAGTTGATTAAGAGGCAACTGGAATTTGACGCTGAACAATGGTTTATACAGCTATAATATGTACAGAAATACTAACATATTGATCGTAAGTATGTTAAGTTTTGGTGGCCTGGACATGCCTTAAACGTAAATATAAGAGGCGGAATCCCCAGCAAGAGAAACTATAACGCAAAGTGCGGGTAGTAAGATTATTTAATTTGCGCATTTTAACCACAAGGACGATATTTAATTAGACGGTTTAAAATGCGATATATAAGTTAAACGTATTTGAAAATTATTTTAATTACGGCCCGAAGTTTCGGATGCTTTGCAGCGGCAGTGGTCACGGGGAGACTAAAGATGATGATTTCTCTGACGTCAGACTAAGAACTACTACGCTAGCGCCATCTGTTCCGTTGAAGTTGGTCTTTGGCGAAATATATATCGAAATTTAAACCGTAAAAGTGTTTTATCCTAATTAATGGAGGCTTTGAATAATTATAGTAATAACAACGTTGTTGTATTATAAAGCGTATTCATTATGTCATTTAATCACACAAAGAAGGTTCTATTTTCATTAAAGTCAAGTTTCATTACAGTCAAATCAGTTTCAAGAAATATTTCATTTATTATTCATTGGGAAGTTAATAGTATTTATAATTATTCATTATCTCAGCGGAGAATCGGCCTTTGTTCTTGGGAACCAAAATATATTTCTTAGTATTCCGCCTCCCTTTTTACATATTTTGCAGATTGAAAGTAGAACTGGGGTTGTTAATGAGAAGTCATTAGTAAAATGCGCTGTCGACCTGTTTTTCGACTTTGGATATTCGGAAATCCAGGAAATTCGGAATTTTCAGGCTGAAATCGAAACGCGATTAACCTTCACGCCTTAAACACATCTGTGGACGGTACGGACGGAATGTCTACATTCCTACCACCCATTTAATAATCCAGCATGCTTCAGAAAAATTATAAATTGAAGTTTGAAAAATTATTTAATTACTGTTTCTCTGTTGTTAGACTATTTTGTGAAGTTTGACACATGTGAAAAAAAAAACAACAACAACAATTGGACATAATAATAATAATAAACTCTTTATTGCACAAACATAGACATGGATACATAGAATTACATATACAAAATAAAACATGTTTGTGCAAAGGCAAAAAAATATAATATAATATATTTTTGACATAGATACCTTTATAACATGTTTTTATTTATTTCCTCGATAATTATAACAATAACTCGAAATACACGTGAGGTAATTGAAGACATATTTTTGGGTTAGTGGGAGCATTTATCGAGGCTACAAAAAGATCTGGCTGCGACGAATAGAATCGAAGAAATAGGAATAGGAAGAAATAGGGGAATGTGGAAAAACCGGGGAAAATTATTCATCTTTGAACGTTTCCGTTGCGTTGAACGATTCAAGAATACTATTCAATTATAGAAAAATATATATAAAAGATTTATTCTTCTTTTAACAATCTAAAAAAATGTCAGCGACGTGCCTATCTTTCAAGATTAACGCACGAGAACAGTTTCTATGGTAATCACATATGGTCGAAACAGCGAAGTATTAAATAAATTGATTATTTTAGGTTAGTTTACAATTATGGTTGAACCTTCGACGCGATCTAAAATAAAATTTCAGAACTTGTACTAAAAGTAATTTTAGAGTCTTGTATGTTCTTATAAGTTTACTACATACTATCTATACTAATATAGAAAGCTGAAGTGTTTGTTTGTATGAACGCGCAAATCTCAGGAAGTACGGGAAAAATTATTTTTGTGTTGGTTAGAGAATTCATCGAGGAAGATTATAGGCTATAACACATTGCGATGTGACAAATAGGAGCGAAGATACAGCGAGAAATGTTAACTAAACGGGGGAAATTTTTCATCTCTGTAGGTTTCAGATGCGTACGCTACGAAAATAGTTCTAGATACCTAAAATTGTGTATGAAAGAATGATTCCCCTATAAATGATCTAAAAAAGTCCACGATACCATATGTCTATCTTAAGATTAACTTGCAAGAACGACGGGAAGAGACCCGATCGACGTGTGGGTTTGCAAAAACTTATTTGGAAGCCCAAAATTACGATTCTCGCGGACGAAGTCGCTGGCACAGGTAGTAACCTATATTCTTATGTAATTTAAACTGAACCCTTCGTGCGCGAATCCGATTCGAACTTAGCCGTTGTACTCCCGTAATGGATTTGTATCAAAAATGAAAACATCGAATGGAAAGTTACTTCTTCTTCGTGATATATTTTCTGCTACAATGTTTCCAGTTTCTACAAAATAACACAATGTTGCCACAATATAATTAATTTTAGAGGCCTTGTTATAATGAGTACATTTTCATGTCTCCTGGTTGATAGGTAGTCGTTAGATGAATGTTAGCTCGTTCTCATCAGCGGATTCTTTTGATTGCGAATCTTTTCTTCATCACAATAGACAGACAGCTCGTTCGCATGTATGTATGGCTAATCATCAACGATTCGTGAGTTCGATTCCCATCGGGGCAATATTTTTAAATTTATAATTTTTCCGACACACGTTGGATTTCGTCTGGAAATCTGTCCGGGTTTAATGACCTTCCACAGATAAATCCGTGAGGTTTCGGTTTCAGTCTGTGGATTTCCGAATATCTAAAGCCAAAATAGGGCAACAGTGCATCCTGTTCAGATGCTATAGGCTGCGGTATTCCTACTATCAAGTGGAACCCATGCTTGTCTATCCTAAATGAAAGATGAGCACGAGGTCACGTTTGATATTCGAGTATCTGAAAACATAACGCAATATGTCTACACGGCATTTGAGGTCATTTACGTATTATATACGCATATTTTATACAACTACTTAGTTCCACTACCTTTTAGCAATAGTAAACAAATCACTGTACTAGTATACCAAGCAAAAATGAAATAATTCTACGATTACATTATCCGAAATTCAATTAACAATCTATAAACGATTTAAATAAATCACCTTTAACGGTTTAAAACACGAATTATTCTGTTTACTATGTATTATAACTACGGTCGAATAAGTAAAATATATTAGGCGTTTTAAACCGTTAAGTGTTTTATTTAAATAAAAACTACTGGCATAAACTACAGACGATTCTAAATTATAAAACAGTCAAACCTATGACTCGTTATTGAAAAATACTCACAACCTCTGCACCAAATTGTTAAAATCAGAACACAATAGAAAATGAATTTTCAAACCGTTGTTGCTCTTTTCAGCGATTCTATTATGTGTCGCCTGCATTGAATCGCTTTGAATGTTTTAAATTTTTATAAAAACTTTTCGCGCGGCCTCCTTCGATTTTTAATTATTGACGCTTTGTGATAGCGTACGCCTCGTTAAAATTTATTGAATTTTATTATGATCGCCTTTTCAATTATTTGGATTTATTGTATAGTCTGTTGCGTTATTTTGTACCTTTGTGATTTAATAGCAAAATTCTGTAGTATGTACGTTACAAGCGCATTGGGACTTCAGTCTAATACACCCATTAACAACCACTGTCTAATTAAAACAATGCTAATGCCTTCTTTTATGATAGAGAAGGACAGACAAACATGGTGTTTACTCGATGATAGTTGAAATACCCCATATAACATCTGCAAGTTGCGCTGTCGACCTATGGCTTGGTGGCTTCGGACTGTAACCGAAACGCGATTAAACTTGACAAATTTTTGCTCACCAGTCTTCAAAAATGTCCAATGTTATAATAAATACTGTCTATAGTTTACGCGAGTAGTACACATTTCAATAAAACACTTTAACGGTTTAAAACGCGATATATTAGTGAAACTTATTTGAAAATGATTTTTAACTTTCGACGTTTCCCCGTGACCACGGCTGGTGCAAAGCATTTCATGAAAAGTATACTACTTCAAAAACTTTATTATTTTTTCTTATTTCTAAAGAAATAGAAATACGTTTATCCAGAAAACGGTACAAAATCTATATTCTTTAATTTTACAAATATTATAATAAAACATATATAACTGAATAGAAATAAAATAGAATTAAATCTCTTTATTTTTTTCTATCATTATTATTAAAATACAATACCATAGTTGCCTCTGAAAAGTAATCTGCTGAGCTACGTTGGGTCTAATGTCCACTATGCAACAGTGATAATCTGTGGCCCCATCATATATGAAATTTTTACTGAAACACTGTCAATAAAATAAGAAGAAGAAAGATTTAATTTTAAAAAGTTTAACATTGTTTATTTATTTAAATAAAACACAACTGTTTTCAGCGCAATATATAATTGTTAAACTTACTTGGAAATTATTTTAACTACGGTTCGTCGTCGGATGCTTTGCAGCGGCTATGATATATGTCGCGTTTTAAACCGTAATTGTTAAACAGTATTTGTTTTTTGTTTAGATTTGCGACTTTGGCTTGGCGCGAGTGGCCGATCCCGACCATGACCACACCGGCTTCTTGACGGAGTACGTCGCGACGCGCTGGTACCGCGCTCCGGAGATCATGCTTAACTCTAAGGTAAGTTTATTTCAATATAGAGGACAGGCAAGCGTGAGGTTAACTTGATGGAAGGTAACCCCAGCCATATACATCTGGATCTTTGGATATTTGGATATCCACAGACTGAAACGGAAACGCCATGCAACTTCACGGCTATTTTATCTGTGGACGGTGATGCGCGACTCCGGCGGAATTTTGATATATCTACCGCCCATTTAATGTCTAGATTTCCAGACGACGTTCAACGTGTTGCATAAAAATTATAAATTGATCGAAAACATGTTGGACCCGGTGGGCATCGAACCCACGACCCGGTGATTATAAGCCTTACCATTAGACCAACGAGCCCGTTAATTAGTGTAATTATATCCATAAATACTATTCATGTCGATGCAAGATACGGATTTTCCCACATTGATCTGTATTCATACTTTTCACTTTGCGTTATCGTTCGAAGTCGTATTTACTTCACGTTCCCATGAGTTGCCCTTTGCTTATCACAAGATCTTCTGAAATGCCCAATCGAATTCCCAAGGCACGGGATGAGGAAAAACGCAGAAGAGAAATTGCGACTAAAGATGTTCTATTTAAATTAGCTTTCGTTGTGTGTATAAAAGCTACTCAACTTCTGAAGCATGGACTTCTTCTGGAAATCTGTATATTAAACAGGTAGTAGGAATTTTGAAATTTCGTCCGGGTCACGACCACGTCACAAAAGCTGTTTTAATTGGTTTTGGGTCGAGTCTTAATTTTCGAATATCAGTCTCCATAAGGCTGTTGCAGTTAATAACTTATATTTTTTTATATATGTATGTTACAATAAATTATCGAAATATGTTGTCAGACGGCTAGAATTAATTCTCAAATGTACAATGACTGTGCATTGTACACGAAAACCATGATAATTCTTTTTTATTTTAATCCTTACTAATATTATAAATGCGAAAGTAACTCTGTCTGTCTGTTACTCTTTCACGCCAAAACTACTGAACGGATTCGAATCAAATTTGGAACACAGATGGTCTAGACCTTGAGAAAAGACATTTTATTATATATATTTTAAGAAAAGGCTTTTTATTGCGAAAAGGTGGTTGTAAGGGGTTAAAAGCGGGGGTGAAATTTTGTATGGCAATTCGTGGTTTTTGAAGTTAGAACAATGAAACTGTCTTCTTTGGCTTTTTGGGAATAGGAGTGGGAATGAGAGTGAGAGTAGTTTAAAGATAAATGTTTCATTTCGTTTATATTTTTTTAGGTACACACTGTTAATTTTGAATGATAGACATTCCGGATCTGGTTGAATCGTTATAACCTGAATTTGAAAAGTGATATTGTAAATTAAAAATCGGTCGTCACGTTACGACGATGACAGTATGATTACATGATGTAGGACTCGGTTGCTCAATGATCACAGCAACAGGATGCTGACGATGCCGGTTCAAGTTCAGCCCGAGCCGTATTTATAATCGATTTTTAATTTATATAGTGCCATTTATAAGTACAAACAAACAAAAATACTTTACTATCAATACAATGTTACAAAGAAAACTTATTAAAAATACAAAAATGTAGCAAGAAAGCTTCATACTAAGTATTTAAGTATGTATACATAATTTCTTGGAATACTTTAATAGAGATTTAAAGAAAATTGCATTAGACGTCATCAAATTTAAAATTAGGTCTGTGTTCAGCTATGGAAATCTTAACGAACTGAATGCGATACCATCGTGCCCATTAAAATGATTTTCGTGAGGACCCCGGGAAAATTCCAATTCTTAAATATTAAATCGTCCCGGGATGTCTCATTCGCATTTACACCACTCACACCGGGTAGTATTTAATTGGAAGGATGCTTACGTAACAAAGAATTACTTGAGGCGTGCGAAACGTTCGGTTTATTTTTTCTTGGCAAACCGCAAACGATTTTACTCGACCGCCGGCGCGTCTGAGTCGAGTGGAAAACTCGTTCATCATTCGTTCGTTTCGTAATCGACTTAAGGCCGTCTCATATGTTCCGTTTGATAATGAGTATATTATGGACGTACACATACGATCGTGGACATTTTTATACGATTTAAGAGAAATCATTCTTTTGTCCATATTTTTTTGGGTATCTTGCAACCGTCATTGCAACGCGCGCAACGGAAACTCTCAAAGATGAATAATTTTCCCCGTTTCGTCCATTTTTCACCTGTTCTCTGCGTCTATTGGTTATTGGTGATGTTTTACATCCCATTATATAATATATAATATAATAGTTAATTTTCTGATACCACATAATGATATCCACGTGTAAAAAATATCCTAACTTGAAACCAACGGTTGCATCACCCATCATCTTAAAGGTGTGCATTATCCGCAGTCTTGGCAGAAATGCCACCTCCGCAAATCCCATTTTGCAGCACAATAGCTCTACTGTTTAATGGGTTGTTAGTTCCCTGTAAGGTGCGAGGACGCTTTGAACTTTTGAACTCTGATAAAAATAGGAATCGTTTGGGCGTGAGGATTTTATTTTTATAGTGATACAGCATTATTCGATGAAATTAGTCTGGGGTAACTGGGTTGGAACATAATATTCTAAGTATGGCAACCATTAACGTTTTGTTGATCGAAGTTCTTTATCATAAAAGTCTTACATCCAATGGATCACCCAATAAAAAAAATACAGACTAGTAAGACAATACTAGATAATATACTCAGTATAGAAGTACTGCAGCGTACGCCTCGGAAACCCATAATGATGAACAATTTTCCAAATTGTTTTATAGCCTTACCAACCAATTTAAAAATAATTTTTCAATTCGAACTCGTAGTTTCTGAGATTAACGCGTTCAAACAAACAAACAAACTCTTCAGCTTTATATATTAGTATAGAAATTTTGAAAGGCAATAAAAATATGCTTTTTATTGTAACCGAATATGATTTGAATCCTACAAATAATTAAAATTGAGTCTAACTAATACATTTTGCGTTTTGAGCAGTTACTTATTCTTATTTATAGAGTGTCTTATTTAAGTGTGTACTACTCACGTAAACTACAAACTAATACTTTTGATCTATAAATAGATGTCTTTTATAAAGAAAAGTAAAGTCATTTACTTTACTTTTTTTTATTATTGTGATATTTTTTTAATGTACCACCACGAGACTCAAGAAATCACGTATTCTTATTTTGATTTTCTCTGCGATCTGAAGTTATACCATTGTGGACTAGGCCTTACCATAAAGCAGCGTATGTATGTTTGTGTTACCCACTGACCCCTGACATTAATGAAGCCTGCTATATTTTAATTGAATTGTAGACACGTGAAGCGTATAATTTTTGATGCAATGCAGCGGATTACCAAGCATTTTAATCAATCAAAACAACCCGTTTGGGATTGAAATGAAAAAAATACTTTATATTTTTAGGTCAGTGATTTAGTGAAGTAGAACTAACTGGGCTTCGATGACAGCGTGTTTTTTGTGACAGAAGTAATTAATGAGTAGGAGTTAGTTCTCCGTTTTACTATTTCTTTTTACTTGATGGTGGGTAAATACCCTAGTCATAAAACATCTAAGCAGGATACGCTGACGATCTATTTTGGCTTTAGATATTCAGAAATCCATGGACTAAAACCAAATCACGGTTTAACATACCCGGACGAAATATTCGATTTTTTTTTAATAAAACACTTTAACGGTTTAAAACGCGATATATTAGTTAAACTTATTTGAAAGTGATTTTTAACTTCAAATCAGTTTAACTAATATATCGCGTTTTAAACCGTTAAAGTGTTTTATTTAAATGTGTACTACTCGCGTAAACTATAGACAGTATCTATTCGATATTCTACTATCCATTTAATATCCAGATTTCCGAACATAGTTCAACATTAGAAAAATTATAAATTTATTAAAAACTTTGGGCCCAGTGGAAATAGAACCCACGACCCACGATTAGTCATAAATTACTACCATTTCACCTTTGAATACGGCTTAATAGATCGATAGCGCATCTTAATTAGATATTCTAGGGGTATATCAACTTCCACTTTGTCTGTCTCTATCATAATATAATCTCTACTTTCCCATATTCTGTGAGTTAGAAGTTTAGATTTATGTTTGCTCTGCATCGAGCGTTTACACAGCGCTGCAAATATTAAATGCAAGTCTGGAGTCTGAAGTATTATTTACTTGTCCAGAGTATGTTTTATACGCGCTATGTACTTCAACCACAGCTCAATAGTAAAAAAACTAAGAGATTAAAATTGTAATATATTGTAAGACTAACTGTTTTTCATACTGCCTGATGTTTGCCAGAGATGCCAGAGAAAGGGTTTATGCTAACACATAAATAATTTTTCAATTCGAAGCAGTAATTCCTGAGTGAGTTGAGCGCGCTGCTCAAACAAATACCGCGAGAATAAATATTTTTTACCAAATTCGTTTTTGCAAATCTTTATAAACTTAAAGCTGATACCCACGACGTCGGTCGCGTCCCTTCCCGTCGCTCTTGCTAGTTAATCTACAAATAAAATTAATGGATAGGCATATAGAGTCGTGGACTTTCTTTTCTTGATAATTTAAAGAGGAATATTTCTTTCTGACGTTTTTTTTGGCTACCTTGATTCGTTTTTGCAGCGTACGCCTCGGAAACCCTTAATGATGAATAATTATTCCAATATCTTTCACATTAGTCACCCACGACACAGGCTTGCCCTAGTGTGGGGACTAGGGACTTTCGATTCTGCACCATGTATATGGAAACAATAAAGATATTTTGATTTTTTTTTTGATCGCTGTTCCTTTGTTCGTATTAATCACAGTCCATAATGCCTATAGCCTTCCTCGATAAATGTTCTAACCGAAACAAAAATAAATTTTCAATTTGAACCTGTAGTTATATGTATAGATATTATATTGTTATATCAATATTTTTATGGCATTGATCACAAACTGTGATCTGGTACGAATCCCCTCTGCCTAGTTAAGTTCTGAACATGATATTACTATTAGACCAGCAAACGCATGAAGAAAAGGTTTTGTGTTCTATAATTGACTGTATTTTTTTTTTGATTCATAGTTAAATTATTACTATACAATTGTCTAAGTCTATAGATTGTTGTAATCCACGTGACTTTAAATTTGACGTTTTAAATCGTATCCCATAGAAAGGCGTTCGAAGAGGATAAAACATTTAGACAAATTTTCAGCCGTTTTTGAGTCAAAAAACGTTAGTTACTAACACGACTTTCTTCATTCATATCATGCTTGTTACAGGGGTACACAAAATCGATAGACATCTGGTCGGTGGGGTGCATTCTTGCTGAGATGCTGTCGAACCGACCCATCTTCCCTGGGAAACACTACTTGGACCAACTGAACCATATCCTCGGTGTTCTAGGCTCGCCAAGCCAGGAGGATTTGGACTGCATCATTAACGAAAAGGTAAATATGTCTATTTAACTTAAACACTTTAACGGTTAGAATCGCGAAATATAGTTAAAATAATTTTCAAGTAAGTTTAACTAATATATTTTGCGTTTTAAACCGTTAAACTATTTTAGTAATGTGTACCACTCGAGTAAACTACATACAGTATAATTCGTGAAGAAACGTCGTGTAACATTATCTATGTTTAAAATCATAAATTTTACATATTGAACCTATGCTATAAGTTTATAAATATTGTTTGTTTAATTCATGTGTGTCGAAATCTAAAACAAAAAAAGGTCAGTTTTAGGTACTCTGTTTTTGTTTGATACTAATTTGTAAGATATTGTGTCGTGTATAACATATCGTTGCCTAGTATAGTAGATTTAGGCCTTCTTTGCAAGCTCGAGTCCCAGCAGTGGGAACTGAAAAAAAAACTGCCGTCACATTTATATTAATTTGCTATTATATATGTGTAGATATAACGAAAAATCCATATTGAAATCGCGATAGAAATAGAACGTAGGATTACGTTAAATTTTCAAGAGAATGGTTCGTTCCAACAAAAACATAACAAAGCTTTTCTCTGACGGTGCTCTTTTTCACGGCTTCAGGAGAAATATATCTTTCATGCGTTGTGGGATGTTTTATATAGAGAAATGGATCTCATTGTGTTCTTTATAGTTCTCCCTTTATGAAGCTTTACCGCTAATACAAAGAACAAATATGTATGAAATATAAGGAGAGCATAAAATATTGTTTTCATATCAGTTTAAAATGGTAAACATAAATTCATTCATATCGCTGAATAATTAATTGCCAAATAACAACATATAATTTTTGGCGTCAAACATGGGCAAATAATATACAATAACTAGCCGTGTTAGCGAGTAGTACTTTCTTCGCTCCTAATATGTCACAGCGCTATGTTTAATAGCCTTCCTCGATAAATGCTAACCAACACAAAAATAATCTTTCAGTTCGAAGGAGTATTTAGCGCGTTCAAACAAACTCTTCAGATTTATGTATTAGTATATATAAAAACCAGTGACGACAGAGACATTAAAAACAAGCATACTTTAAACCTTCGACATGCATTGTCTACCTTACTCTCTCTTATATCGCCTGATTTAAGAATATTAATAAAATTTACATACATATGTTCTCATAAATATATTACACAAAATATGTTAAAGTTGTGCTAAAATACGTGTTTGACTACGCAACGCACCTGCTGATGACTGTAACTTTTACCATCAATCAATTTCAAATTTGGAACTATCCCGGCCGGCCGTCTCGCCTCTGCAATATTGGGGGCTGAATTTGCTTCAAACGCTAATCAAGCATACAAATTGATTTTTGTTCCATTTAACTTGATTTCGTGATTCGTATACTAAACGGACCAGAAGAATAAATATCAAAGGGAGCGTGAAGCCGGGTACTCACTAACGAGCCGTAACTTGCGTGATACATGATACATGAAAGTGCGAACAAATGAAATTAATATTTCACATATATCACTATTATCTAACATGCTTAAATATTAAAATTACTAAAGCTAAGTTTCAAGACTAAGTTTAGAATTAGAAGTTTTTGAATAAAAGCAGCACAAATCTTAATTACTAAAATTTACTTGTTAGATATTCGTTTTTAACTATTTGTGGTTTATTTGAAAAGTATCCATCATGTGACTGTACTCATTAGGTATTTTGGAGAGCCTGAGTTTTGGAGAATGTGATGCATATGTTTTTCGAGGTAGCACAAAAGGTTGTCTAGTTCTAAATATTTTTTCTAAATAAGAAAACGAGGAAGAGGTGTCATATTATGTGGTAGTGGTAGGACACTATCTTTCAGTCGTAAACGGTTCCCGCGTCGAGACAATTTTTATTAAGTACTGTCTGTAGTTACGCGAGTAGTACACATTTAAATGAAACACTTTTTGTTGTTAGTTACACAGATTCCCTCGAGACCACGGCTGCTGCGATGCATCCGAAACAGCGAGCCGTAGTTAAAATAAATTGTAAATAATTTAACTGATACATTTCGCGTTTTAAACCGTTAACACACATCAAAAGTTTGTAAACGTTTATCATTTAAGTTTACAGCAGTACCACGGAGTTTTAACCATGTCTAAATTGGTATGATATATCGTCGTCGGTTAGTAGTTGGCTTGTTAAAAGTTCGCAAACCACGTCCACTATATTTTTTATTACGTAAAACGACAATGTAAGTGAGTACTCGGCGTTAGAAGGGTTGTACTTTGCGTTTGCTCGATAAATAAGCGAATTCCCGGTACTTGTTATTCGAGCGTTGTTTTCCCTTGTGTTTTGCTAACGAACGGGCTTATGGGTAGCCATACAATAACATTATTCTAAGCTTTGAACTACAATAGGGTTTAATTCTATTACTGGAACTGTAAAGACGAACTCACCTTTCTATTGAAAGCTCTCGATGTGTCATATGAGTAAGGGTCGTCAAAGGGGGATTCCTTTTATCCGCACTATCTATATTGGCAATTTTAATTCAATAGGTTTACTTTATTAAGTAAGGGTCCAAATTTTGAATAAAATGCAGACCTTATAACTACTTGGGTTTAGTTACTTGGGGACAAAAGATTTACGTCGTGACGGATAAACAAACGGCTTCATGATGAGAATTTTAATTCTTTTTGTTTTCATAAAAAAATATATGATAATTAGATGCACATACACAATTTTATGTCTAATTAAAAGATCACGTTTTATTCAGTCGTTCATGAAACAATGCTCAAGAATGTTTAGTATGCAAAAAATACACTATCCATCACGCTCGCCTAAAATCCCAATTGTTTCATTCCCGCCCCAGTCATCGTCTTTTTGTATTAGATTATTTGTAAAAGGCCTATATTACTCTTTCAATTTCTATAAGATCTCGTGTGAATATTCAGCTGCATGTGCTGTGAATATTCACCTACTTCAGTTGTAAAATGTGTCTCACTATCGGCAACGTTGAGTATGATATCAGGGTCTCAGGAGGACATAAACAAACACGAATATACGGACAGAAGCCACCGGTAAATTGCGATTTGCGAGTGATATGTAAATGTTAGCAAACAGGCGGGTGACGTCACAAATATGGCGGCATGTTTTTAGGGACTTCGAATTAGGCAAAATAAAACGAATATAAACTTCTTTCAGCACGAAAGCATTTCGTAAATGAATTGAATTCAAGGAGGTGTTAAGTTTTAAAATACATCTCTGAAAAGAAATTGTTCATTTCATTGCGTACCTGACGAGACATGACAATTAACAATTTATTACTATTAAATTATTTGTCGGGCTCGTAGGTGTAAAGGTACCAATGGTACAGCTAACAATCCTCGGGTCGTGGGTTCGATGTTTGAAATGTACTTACGTGAATAAATGATTTTTGACTTAGATTTTATCACCTAAACTCCTACGACATGTGGTTGGAATTTCAGTTGGTCTGTGAATTTCCGAGTGTCCAAAGATTCAGTTCTTGCGCATCTTGATTCGACGTTGTATGGGGTTACTTCCATCAAGTGTACGCAAGCTGTTCTTTTCTATGACAAAGAAAGCAATCGTGTTGATAACAGGACTACACTAACGGATTGATACACACCGTCCTTCGCAGATGACTTCAGTGGAGTAGTTGCTAGTTTATTTCAGTCAGTCGGCGACTGTGTTGTGTTCGCCTCAGCCCCGCGACAATGCCGGCTAACAAGAGAATGTAATTATAGGGAACACAGTTCGTAGTCTAGTTTACAAAACCATAACGAAGTTCGAAAAGTAAAATGTATAGGACTGGTATACACAGTGTTAGCATATCATTGTCTTTCGGGCTGTTCGGCCGATGTGAGCGAGAAGAGGTTCTGGACGTTTCGCCATCACGTGTTGAAGGCATCATCAGGAGATGTTAATGTTGACTCCTCGATTGAATCGAGGAGTCAACATTAACATAGTCTTAATAATACTATGATAAAAAAGATAATTAAATTTCACTTATATAATACTATTATCAGCATGTATACATTTTAGTTTTATTCATCTATACTAATATTAAAAATTTAAGAGTTTATGTTTGAACGCGCTAATCTTAGGAACTACGGGTTCGAATTAAAACAAATATATTTGTGTTGGTTAGAACAATTATCTAGAAAGGCTATAAGCTATAAAAGATCGCCCTGTGACTAATACAAGCGAATCCAACGTGAAATGTGCAAAAAATTGGTAAACATTATTCATCATACGGGTATCCGAGGTATACCCAAAAAAATAGTATGAAAGGATGATTCCTCTTTTATTTATTTATTTATTTATTTATTTATTAAGGAAACTAAACAGTACAGTCTCTTATGATAACTTAAAACTAATTTTCTTATTGTCTAGGGAAAAATAAAATTGTATAAAAATCCAAATGCATGCAGGCATGTACTCAGAGACAGTACCTTAACAAGTTTCTCTGAGAACATTTGATTTAGAAATATGAAAAAGCTTTTAAGGCAAGAAACAGTGTGACAAATGACAAAAACGGTATTCTTTAATACTTAGATATGTGTGATATCTTTACAGGTTAGGTACTTTTTTAACTTATATTTATACGTTAATTGCGAGCACGAAAACAAGTCAACATCATTCAACGCGTTATTATGCAATGAAGCCATATTGTGGAGCGGGGCACGTTTACCAGTGTTACATCTAGTCGTTGGTACATAGAATAAGTTTTTGGTACGCGTAGATCGAGCGGGGATGTGGAAGTAAATCTGTTGAAGTAAATCGGGACAATCTATTTCGGCACAACATATCTTTCTTAATGTTGTTAAAAGATGAAACTCACGGCGTTGACTCAGGGAAAGGAAGTTAAAACGTGCCATCAGATCTTTATAGTGACAACGATGTCCTAATAAGCGATAGCTTAACATACGAAGGAATTTCTTTTGCACCATCTCAATTTTATTTTTGTATATGTCGTAAAAGGGATTCCAGATAACGCAAGCATACTCTAATCGGGAGAGT